ACCTCACCTTTTCATTTACATAATGATAAATAATTTACTGACCACCATATGGCATATCGGGAATGCCTTTGCTGCTTGGCCTATCCCTCCTAAGATGGAGATGATAACGACAGTTTGAATTTTCCCAAGTCCTGCTTGAGAAGTGAAGGACTAGATTTCAATGGAATCGTTAAAATTCGTCTTCAGAGATTGATGAATAAAGTGCACATCCACTCCATGGTACCTTCCCTATCAGTCTACCTATGCAGAACTAGTTGACATGAGGTTCTTGATGAGAAGATCAGTTCCACGATTAATGAATTGTCTTAGTTCATAATGTTGTCTGTAAGTCACAGTTGTTGACACACACTTTCCTCTTCTATCAAATGAAAACTATCAACGTTGTCGATTTCTTTCCTCGGCGTAGGGTGTCCTATACCTTCCCTGGGACCTGAAACACATCGTTACACATCGTTATTTGTTACACCGCGGACGGTCCGGCTGTACAGGGGATGCTCTGGCCAGATGGTGCTCAGGATCTCACTTTAAGATGCGGTCAGCCTCTCTCCACCCGCTCTCGATGGCACCGTGGACCGTGGAGTAGTAGTGATCATGCGTCGCCTCTCCGGCAAAGAGGACGGCCTGCAACCACAAAGACCAGTTCAGAACAGTTCAGAGCGCCTGCCGTTCCCATTCCCATTGGGGCAAATTGGGGCTCTCTCCACAGGCGAAGGGGTAGTTTTCCCGCGGCCGTCAGAGTATCACTGTAGCATGTTTTAGTGATGTATGGTTTGGGTACAAATCGCTGTATCAATCATTAGGGGTCGTTCCAATACTACGTGACTTTAAGGGGGTACAAATATTACGGGGTCCCAGAAGGATCAGGCCCATCACTGACGCCCATAGGACCCCATCATATTTTGTGGCCCAGGGTACAAATATCATGGAGTCTCTATGGACAACAATGATGTAACTGATCCTTTTACGACCCCATAATATTTGTACCCCTCTCAAAAGTCACGTAGTATTGGAGTGATCCCTTGCTGATCTGTCTGAACACTTTCAAGGGAACCGTGTGGGAAAAGTACCCCTCTCCATACAGTCGCCGTGGATTATGGACCCCCCCCCCCCCTGCGAGTCTCACCGGCTCTCCCTGCATGTCCAGGATGGGCTCGGCGAGGTGGGCGGCCCACGCGTCGGCGCGGTCCGAGTCCAGCGAGCGGTAGCTGTACGAGCCCCGGAAGTGGGGGTTGCTCCACCACTTGGAGCGCGTGAAGCCGACGGGCAGCGGGATGCTGTAGTTGTGGCCGAGGAACATGTCGAGCCACTTCTTGCAGCCCATCATGATCTGGTAGTCCGAGTAGGCCTCCATGACCCGCGCCGGCTCGCCGACGATCCAGTCCATGAGCACGACGTTGGGCTTGTGCTGGTCGATGTAGAAGCCCGACAGCCCGTGCACCCAGTGGCCCTGGGCGCCGTACTGCGGGTACTTGCGCTTGAACTCCTCCAGGTCCTCGCCGGTCACCAGCACGCTGTAGCCGCTCAGGCCGCTCGGCCACCACGGCTCCGAGAAGTACATGAACAGCTTGTTCACCTGGCCGAAGCCCAGGTTCTGTCGACAAAGAGCAAGCAACAACGTCAGTGGTGGCGTGAGAGGAGAGGGGAGGGGGAGGGGAGGGACTCACCCTCACGGCGTTCATCTTGCGCGCTGGCAGCTGCGGGTCGAACAGGGCGTCGGCGGAGTGCTTGAGCACGCCGAGGGACACGGTCACCAGCACGATGTCAGCCGTGTGCCGGCCGCCGTTGGAGAGCTCCACCACCACCGGCGGGTTGGCCGTCCTGCCCTGGTCCGACTGGGGCGCCTCCTCGGCTGCCGCCTGGGTCGCGGTCTCGGTGACGGCGCCGGCCTCGGTCGCGTCCTCGGTCGCCGTGTACGGGTCGGCGGCGTCCGCGGTCTCCGTCACCTCGTTGTGCTGCTGGGTGGAGTGGTGCACGTCGTTGTTCTCGACGGTGTCCAGGACGTCCTCGCCGGCGCCCAGGCGCTGGGACCCGTAGACGCGGTCCGCCCAGCGGATGGCGCTGACCTCGCTGTTGAGCAGCACTCGCCGGCGAACCGGGAGCTCCTGGTCCGGGTGCGGGTAGCGCTTCTGTGAGAGCGAGAGAGATAGAGAGACAGCGTGAGTGCGCGCGCGAACGGTGGAGAGAAAGAGACAGAGAGAAGAGGGGACGTACGGTGAGCAGGTCAAACACCGAGCGGTAGCCGTTGCGCTTCCAGACCATCGCGAGGTCGCCCTCGCACTCCTTGTACTGCGTCAGGCCGCGGCCCGAGGTGTTGAACCACGTGTCCGAGCCGTCGTAGAAGCCCGTGTACTTCTCGAACCAGCCCAGGAAGCGGTCCACCAGCTCGGCCGGCGGCCGGCGCTCCAGGGTCAGCAGGCGCTGGGTGAACCTTCAAATCAAACATTGAACAAAGTTTAAGAATTTAAAAAGTTGAACGAGTTGAAAAAGTCGAAAATTTTGAAAAGAGCGGAAACAGTTGAAAAAGCTGAGACAGTTGGAAAAGTTGTGAAAGTTGGTAAAAGGTTGAAAAAGTTGAACAGGTTTTTTTAAAACTTGAAATAATTCATGTTATCACACTGGCTTGCGCCGCCGGGCTGCGCTATGCACTATGCACAGCAAGTGATAATAACAAATAATCTATTACAGCAGAGCTCCGCGCGGTCCGTCCGTTATTGTCGTCTAAATGAATGACGGCCAAGCTATCGGCCGCCCGCCCCACCCGCC